CGACACCCCCTTCCTTGCAGGGCCAGAGCAGAAGGGAGGAAGGAAGAGCTGCCGGAGGTTGGGATGGAGCCCGGGGAGAGGAAGCGGCTCCTGTCGGCCTCCTCCTCGGAAGGAGACTGGAGAGAAGAAAACAGTCAGTATTGCCGCCGCCGCCGCCGCCACCGCCCCTGTGCCCCGTGTTTCTGTGAAAATCAGACCCGCTGGTGTTTCTCCATCTGCTCCGTGGACCTGCCCTGTGGTCCTCCCAGGGCTTGGCGGTCAGTCCGTCCCATCCCGGTCTCCTGGCTGTTCGTGGAGGCCTGTCGGGCTCCGTGGGCTGTGGCTCTGCCCTGCAAATGCTGGTGTCGATGGTTGGTTTGCACACACAGACTCGGTGGGTCCGTCTGAGCGAGAATTCACATCGTAACATGGGGTCTTCCCGCCCAGGACCATTCAGTCTGGTGGTTTCAGGTGCAGGGACGCAAGACCTCTTCTAATGCTGTTGTCGGTGACATGTTAACGCTTCACTTTCTAAGCGGTTCTGGTGTGTTTAGAAAAACTACTGATTTCATTTTACTGACTTGGAATTTGGTGACGTTCCTAAACACACCTACGAATTACAATAGCGAATAGATTCCTTTAGACTTGTGCACACTCATCTTTATCACTTTATTTCTTTTTCTTGCATTATTGCTTTGGCCAGCTCTTTCCGTATAATGTTGAATGCAGGTGGGAGAGTGGACATCTTTTTGTTGCTGTTTTTTTCCAAGCGCAGAAGGAAAGTGCTCAGAGTTTCACCACGAAGGGTGACATGGCTGCACACGTTAAGGACGGTTCCCTTTTGTACCTGGTTTACTAAGATTTCAAACGAACAGCTGACAGTTTACCACACACTGTCCGCTGCATCGATTGAGATGGCAATACATAGATTTGTCCTTCAGCTGTGAGTGTGGTGGGTTACGTGGAGGGACTGTCAAATATTAAATCAACTTTGTACTCATGGACTAAACTCCATGTGGTCCTGCTGTTTTGTTTCATATGTCGCTGGATTTGACTAAAATTTTTTTTTGTTTACGTTTATTATTATTATTTTTTTTTGAGAGAGAGAGAGGAAGGGGGAGGGAGAGAGAGAAAGAAACATTGATGTGCGAAACATACATCGGCTGCCTCCTGCACGCCCCCTACTGAGGATCGAGCCCTAAGCCCCGGATGATGCTCAACCAACTGAGCCACTCAGGCAGGACTCGCGTCTCTTTTTCTGAGTGAGATCGGCCTTTACTGTTCCTTTCTTGTAACATTCCTGACAGGTTTGGGTATTAAACTTATGGCTTCATGAAAAGAGTTGAAAAGAGCCTGGTTTTCCCATTCAATGAAAGGCTTTATATAAGATTTCTTAAAATTTTTAATTGTTTTTCTTTTTTTGGCTGCTTTTTTCTTCTTTATATATATTTTTTCCTTTAAATATTTGGGAAAATTGACCTGTGATGCCACCTAGACCTCGTTTCACTTGGGAATTTCTTTAACAGAAATAGGCCCGTCCAGATTCCTGTTATGTCAGTTTGGTGGAGCCATGTCTTTCCAGGAAAATGCCCGTTTGACGTGAGCTGTCAAGTTCCTGGCGTGCGGATGCTCATAGGGTCGTATCATCGTTTTAATCTCGTGCGTCCGTCCTGCCGCCCCTTCCCACTCCTGCTGCTGGTAATCCGGGTCCCCTTCTTCTTGACCAGCCCGTGGAGAGGTTGATCCGTTAAAAAACGCTTCAAAGATCCAACTTTTGGTTTTGCCTGTTTTCTCCAGAGTGCACCTGCTTTCCATTTGATGGAAGCCTTACCTCCTTTTTATTGTTGCTGAGTTCCTACCTTCTTCTTGTTTAATCGGCCTCTTTCCAGCCTCTGGAGATGGCAACTTAGGTAATGTTCAGTTTGTTTTCTTTTCTAACTTACGCACTGAAATCGGGACCCTTCCCCCAATCACCACGCGGCTGCATTGCAGTGCTCTGACAGGTCACATTCTCATTCTCATTTAAGTCAGATCATTTTGAAATTGGCTTTGATTCATGTTTTATTTTAAAAGAGGGCTGCTGCCCTGGCCGGTTTGGCTCAGTGGATAGAGCGTCGACCTGCAGACCAAAGGGTTCCGGGTTTGATTCCAGTCAAGGGCACGTGCCTGGGTTGCAGGCTCCTCGGGCCCGGGCCCTGGTCAGGGCTCGTGCAGGAGTCAACCAATCAATGTGTTTCTCTCACATCGATGTTTCTCTCTGTCTTTCCCTCTCTCTCCCTCTCTCCCTGAAAATCAATGGGAAAACATCCTCGGGGGAGGATTAACAACAACAAATATATATGTAATATGCGTTTCTTAAATAAAATAAAAGTGGGCTGCTTACTTCTTGAACGTTTAGCAATTTCTAGTTGCCTTTTTGTTATTAATTTCTAGTTTGATCTCAGCCCCGGACCCCCTGTGTCTGGGGGGGGCACCTGGCATGCGGGAGATTTATTACCTGCTTGTGGGGGGGCATCGAAGGGGTCGGGGTCCTTCTGACACCGGCTGTTTCTTTTTGAAATTGGGTGACATTGGTTAATAAAGTGACACAGGTTCCAGGGGCACAATTCTGTGATTCGTCCTCTGTATATTGTGTTGTGTGTTCACTACCCCAGGCCGAGTCTCCTGCCCTCACCATGGATCCCCCTTCACCTCCTCCTACCTCCTCCACCCCCTCTCCCTCTGGTAACCGCCACACTGTTGTCTGGCTATGAATTGTCCCCCCTTAATCCCTTCACCCTTTTCACCCAGCCCGAAACCCACCTCCCCTCTGACTGCTGTCGGTCTGCTCTCTGTATCTGTGAGTCTGCTTCTATTTTGTTTGTTTACTTTGTTCATTAGATTCCACATGTAAGTGATACCATTCGGTGTCTCTTTTTCTCTGACTGGCTTATTTCACTCAGCACAGCATTCTCCAGGTCCGTCCGTGCTGTCGCTAGAGGTAAGAGTCCCTTCTCTCTTACGGCTGCTTAGTGTTCCGCCGTGTGGATGTACACGGCTTTTTACCCACTCGTCTGCTGATGGGCACTTGGCTGCCTCCAGACCTTGGCTTTTGTAAATGAAGCTGCTGTGAACACAGAGGTGCATGTATTCTTTCGAATTAGGATGTTGGGGGCTTTCGGATCTGTTCCCAGGCGTGGACTCGATGAGTCCGCTGATTCCTAAGTAATTTAACTCTTAATAATCAGCACATCGCAGGGCACATTTTGGGCAGCCCGCCCTGAACCCGTCGTGCGTTGGGTGCTGCTGGGATGACTAACCCGGTTTGGTCTGCTCAGGCATTTCCAAGGCCGGCCTCCATTTGCCCCTGATTCTAACAACAGCCCGTTTTTTCTAAATTCCTAGTTTATTGCCCTGAAGTTCATAATAGCCTCTCAGTTTGTAAGCATCTGAGTAAGGGGTTTCCTGTCGTTATGGCTTTTTGATGCCTTTTTTTTTTATGACTTGCATCTCCCATTGTTTATTGATCTTATGAGTCTTAAACGTTGGGCTTGGTTGATTCTCTTTATCGAATTAAAAAACATTTTCCTGTTATCCCGGGGTTTGCGTTTACTTGGTTCTTCCTCACATCACCTCTCTGGGTCTCAGCCTTTACTGTCTCCCCATAGACGCACCCACAGCTGAAACTCCCTTCGTGAACGCAGCCTCGCGGCCCGAGAGCTGATGTCAGCGTTCGGGTCCCATTTCGTCAGCACGCGCACCGCTTTCTGTCGCGATCGCTTCCTCGGCCGCGGGCTGTGGGGCGCGTGCTTGCTAACGGGGAACGCTTTCTGCCCGATACTTGGTTCTGTTATCGATCCCTGACTAACGGAGCTGGGACCAGGGGGCGTCATCTTCTCTCGGGACAATGTTGGTCACTGTCCTGTGTCCCGGAGTCACTGTGCCCGGGGCTGCGGAGCTGGAGGCGAAGTCGACGTCCTGTTCAGATCTCGGTCCTCACCGCCTTCGCTGGCGTGTCTGTCCGTCACTGAAGACGCAGCGGCTCCGGCTGTGTGCGGACCGAGCTGCTGGGTGCGTGCACCGGCCCGGCTCCCCTCCCGCCTCCTCCCGCCTACTCCTGCCGGCTCTGTCTGCATGGACTGGTGTTCCCAGCGCAGGCGTCGAACAAATGGAATCAGGGAGCGAGGCCCTGTGGGCCCAGATGTGAGCTTGCCGGTGTGTTTCCCAGCCGGGGTGGGACCTTGGCTTCCGTCACGGAGCAGAACACGTCAGTCCTGACAAGGCCCCTCTCGCCAGCTTTCACTCCGATGGCCGAACTCTGCGGGCCGCTCCACGCCTTCTCCCGGGCCGTGGGCTCAGCTCCCTCACGGAGGCCCGGACGCCTCAGATCAGTTCTGTGTGTGGTGCCTGGCGGGGCCGTGGGTCCCTCGCTCCATGTGGCAGGGCTTCGGGGCTGGGGGCTGAGGCAGCCGGCCATGTGGACGTGGGGCTCTGGGGCCCAGGGTGGAGGGGGCCCCAGGAGGAGCAGGTGGGGGGTCTGCGGTGCACCTTGGCCAGCAGGGACGGTGGGTGCAGGGGGTGCGTACACTCCTGGGCACTGTCCAGGGGGATTTAAAGCCACCGCCAGGAAGAGGTGGCTGAGGGCGTGGACCAAGCACAGAGGTCTGGGGTCTGGGCCTGGGCTCCCCCTTGGTTAGGGGGGAGGGAAAGGGGCTGCCATGAGGAGGAGCTGCCAGGCCCCGGGGAGTGACGGGGACCAGCCTGTGCATGCGTGACTTAGCGTGAGCGTGTCTGGTGGAGCCCCGCAGACGGGTGGAGAGGGGGCCGCGGAGAGGCAGGGGCAGGATGGGGAGGGTGCAGGGGGAGGTGTTCATTTTCATGTCGAAGGTGTTTACTATGAAACTCGCGGTGGCTCGTGGCCGGGGTCACAGGACGGAGCCGAGGGGGGCTGGTCTCAGGCAGGGCTGGCCCAGGTCGGGGCAGCGCTGGGGGACCCTGTGAGGAAAGACGGTGCCTCGAGGCTGAGCTGTGGGGGAGCGTGGGGAGGGGTTGCAGCCTGGAGAGGGGGCTGGGGGTGAGAGCTAGAGGCTGGGGGGAGGGGTGCATGGGGGGCTGCACCTGCTGCTCAGGGCTGTGGGGCTCCTGGGTCCGTCCTGAATTGAGGACAGACTGGGGCAGGGTTGTGGGCAGCTGGGCCTCCGTGAACCCGCCTGGTGTCTCCGTGGTGAGAGCACCCATTTGCCTCCATATCTGCTCTCTCTTTTGCAGAATTAAAACGAGGAGACTCATCTGCCTCCCCCAAACTGGACAGATACAAAATGGCCAGACAGCTGACGGAAAAGGCAATCAAGGTAAATGCTCCTGGGGACTCGGTGGGGAGGGGCGCCTTTTAAATACGGAATTTGGGGAGTGAGTCCAGAGCTCTGACACCCAACACCCCCTCCCGGCCGGCCTTGGTCCCTGGCCCCCCAGGCCTGGTCCCCACGTGGAAGCTTGCGTTAGAGTTACTTTAAAAATTTTTTTAAATTTATTTCAGAGAGGAAGGGACAGGGAGAGAGAGAGAAACATCACTGATGAGAGAGAATCATTGATGGGCTGCCTCCTGCACACCCCCTACTGGGACTCGAGCCCGCAACCCGGGCAGGTGCCCTTGACCAGGAATGGAACCTGGGGCCCTTCAGTCCGCAGGCCAACACTCTATCCACTGAGCCGCACCAGCTAGGGCTAGAGTTACCTTTTATTTCAGCTGGACGCTGGAAATAGTCTCAAGATTGTGGACGTGCAGACATATGAGGTGTGGAAGCCTGTCCCAGGTCCCGCCACGCGGCCTCAGGCCCTGGGCACACTTCCGGGCCAGGGTTCTGTGTCAGGGACAGGCTCGTGATGACCCGGAGCCCCGTGTGCCAGCCCCTGCTCCCCTGTCCTCTCGGGGACGCGGTGAGGACAGACGCCACCGTTTCTGTCCTTGCGCCGAAGGCGGGGCCTGGGAGCCCGAGGACCCGGCACGTGGTTACGTGAGCCTGGGCTCAGCTGTTTCTCCTGAAGCACAGCACACGGCTCGCCATGCACCTGGGGAGAGAACCAGGGCACGCATGACACGTGTGGGCAGGCAGCAGCCCCCACAGACCTGAGATGAGACGTCCGTCACCCTTGGAAGCTGCCCCCCCTCAAATCCTTGCCGCCCCGGCCGTGCCTTCTGGAACCACCGTCACCGCCTTTCAGGGATTTCATAGAAACAGAACCAGAGCAGCTCATGACTCAGTTTCCCCCTGCAGCCCAGAAACACGTGAACACGCCCGACTACAGGCGCCCTCAGAGCACCGAGTTGGCTGCATTTCACGAGCTCTCATTTCTAGTATTTTTGTTGCGAGTCCGTAGAAAGTATTTTATAATCCAAACTAGAGGCCTGGTGCACGAAAATTTGTGCACTCAGGGGGGCGGTCTCTCAGCCCAGCCTGCACCCTCTCACAATCCGGGACCCTCAGGTAGGGTCCAGTCCCATTGCTCTGGTTCCCCAGAGCCTGTGGGCCGGGGGAGAGGGACCCAGAGGCCAGTCCGATCGCAGGGCTCCGTTCCCCCAGTTCCCTCCCGTCGCTGTGCCGCTGTGCCGGGACCCAGGACTGACTCCTGCCACGCCGGCCGGGACCCTAGGCTGGTGTTCGGTCATCCGCCCGGACATTCAGGCCGTGGCGGACCCTGGCTCTTTCTATATTAGGGTGATTCCTTCCTCCCTGGTCACGGGCAGCTGACAAGCCGCGTGCGAGTGTCGGTCTGTCACTGACTCCTCAGCAGGGTGCGTGTGGCTGAGCATGTGGTCTGCGTGAATCCTGAGATGCTCTGTGCCTGTGTCTGGTGCATGTGGGCGGAAGGTGGTGTGACTGCTGGCTTCACACCCTCGGGCGGAGTCTCCTGTTTGTTCAGTCCTGCGGCCACACTTCTGTCTGTGTCCCATCAGCCACGGGGAGAAGCGTGTTAACACCCTGTTACGCTGTGGATGTGTCTGCTCTTCCATTCTGTCCATTTTCGCTGCAGATAACATGCCGCCCTGTCAACAGGTGCACACGGACGCATCGTTCTGCGGGGCCGACTCTTTTCTCTCAATTATTAAAAAATTGTCTTTACTCTGGCGATGTTCATGTGACCTCTTTTAATCCTCACCTGAGGATATTTGTCCATTGATTTTTAGAGAGAGTGGAAGGGAGAGGGGAAGACAGAGAAATATTGATGTGAGAGAGACACATTGATGGGTTGCCTCCTGCACGTGCCCCAACCAGGCCCCAGTCTGGGGAGGAGCCTGCAACCGAGGTACGTGCTCTTGTCTGGAATCGAACCCGGGACCCTTCGGTCCTCAGGCCGACGCTCTACCCACTGAGCCAAGCCGGCCAGGGCGAGTGATGCTGTTCTGCCTCAGATGTGGGTCCTCTCATCTTCGGCCGTAGGCTGTGCTGTTCGTTTTCTCCTGCAAACAGCACAGGGCTGGGCTTTTAAAAATCAAGTCTGGTGCTCGTCACCTCCCAGCGGCAGCAGGAAGCGCGTTCATCCAGTCAGACTGCTGGTGCCTGACCTCTCCCTCCGCCGTCCTGTCTGCCCCGTCCCCTCTCCTTCCGTGCCTCCTGGGGACTGATTGCTTTATTTCTTTATTTAGTTCGTTAGTTAATCCTCCCCCGAGGACATTTTTCCATTGGTTTTTAGGGAGAGTGGGAGAGAGGGAGAGACACATCGATTGGTTGCCTCCTGCACGAGCCCCGACCAGGGCCCGGGCTGGGGAGGAGCCTGCAACTGAAGTACGTGCCCTTGACCGAATCGAACCCGGGACCCTTTGGTCCACAGGTGGACGCTCTATCCATTGAGCCACACCAGCCAGGGCTGGACTGATCGCTTTTAAAAATTGCACTCCCTGCCCTAGCTAGTGTGGCTCAGTGGATAGAGCATCAGCTTATGGAGTGAAGGGTCCTGGGTTCAATTCCAGTCAAGGGCACAGGCCCGGATTGCGGGCTCGGTCCCCAGCAGGGGGCATGCAGGAGGCAGCCGATCAACGGTTCTCATCACTGATGTCTCGCTCTCTCCTCCCTTCGTCTCTGAAATCAGTGCAAACATATTTTAAAAAGAACACTGCTCCGGCGGGACGAGCGTGCGCTGTTCCGTCGCTGACTCTGTGCTCTCATTCAGGACAAGAAGATCTTCTCCATCCACGGGCACTACCCCGTGGTGCGGGCGCTGCTGCGCAGGAAGGGCTGGGTGGAGAAGAAGCTGCACTTCCTGCCCCGCATCTCTGTCAGCGCCGACGGCGACGGCGAAGGGGCCGCTGGTAGATATCGAAGCCCTGGTCCCTCCGTGTGCGTGTGTCTGTCTCGCGGCCCCGGGTCCTGGGGCTTGGGCCTCCCTCGAAGGCAGAGGACCCGCCTCCCCATGGGGGAGCCGCGCTGCCTCCCACGCAGGCACCCACCGCCGGGCGAGCGCTCCCAAGCCCGGGTCTGGCCACATCTCAGCGCGTCGCCCTGACCATCTCTTCTCCCCCTCAGCTCACACAGGGGCCTCGAGACCCACAACTACTACTGCCCCCCTCCCCCACC